GCGCTTTTGATGTCTATGGACAGTGCACTCTGAATCTCCGAAGTCTCGCGGATGGGATACGAGTGAATGACATCTCTGACCGATGGCATGTGCTGCTTCTCTGGTACAACACAGTTGGCATTTGTTCCGCACACGCTGTTATCCAAGCACAAACGCTCCGACCTACCCGGGGCCCGAACCACAGAAAGTTTCCCTATCGCGACCCCGAGGGGCCATCGTTGTTCCGCATCCTCCAGGGAACCGTGGAACTTGAAGCAGAAACCTTGATCAAGCTCCTCCTGGAGTAGCTTGCGCGTTACTTCAGGCTCGACTGTGGCAGATCGCCAATTCTGCAAGTGGATCGAAAGGGGGATATCATCCACACCCTCGTTGTGATTTGGCCAAAAGCAGTTTGATGACGGAATGTTGTGCAAATACCCCGTGGGAACACCATCTTTAAGCGCTGCAAAAAGCGAAGTGTCCGGGTCACCACAAAACGAAGCAACAGCATGCAATGCATTCAAGCAGATCGGTTGATGATCCCTGATTACCCAAGCATCTGGCGGTTCTGAAATGCCTAGTGATGCAAACAGCTGAGAGCGAACTGAGGCCACTTCCGCTTCAGAAAACAGTGGGGACTTGCTGGGTTCCGCGTGGCGCTGAACCAACCTGGTTGGGCCTTGCATTCGAGTAGTCACGGAGAGCAAAAGATCCCTAAGGGGCTTGAGAACATCATGAGCATGGGGGGAACTCCAATCCGCGCGAGAATGCCTACCCGCACCATCATGAACTGCCCAGGGGCCTTGCTGCATAGTTTTTGCGAGGCACAAGCTTGATTGCTTTGGCAACATCCAACTCAGGAGAACGCAAGCTGAGCAGCCCCTGAATATGAGCAGCAAAAGTCTCACTCAAGGATGCTGGATACTGAGCGGTTTGTCTGCTGCGAAAGATACCTGTTGAGTCCAAGCCACGCATCACTGGGTGCGCGTCGCGGCCGTGTGTGCAGACATGACCCATGTTCTTCAGTGGCGAGTAGCTAGTGCCGAATAGCCAAGTTTTAGCCCACGGGACCCCGTAACCACAAGCAGCAACCCAAACCAAGGAAACTGAGCCCTCGTAAAGCCAAGACTGCAAACAACTTTCTTCCAAAGACATGGCGCCTGGGGGCTGCTCAATGTGGCCGTGGCCACCCGCTGCAAAGGTCACAGAAACGCATTTGCAGCATCTCTCAAGGATTTCCTTGCTTTCCTGAAGCTTGCAAAGGTCTGCAGGGCCCAAGCCCGGTACACCCCCGAGAAATTCCGGTGTCCGGATCGCATACGGGGGACCGTTAGGGAGCTTAAGCCTAGAATAATGTGAGCAGCATGGCGATGCGGCGCAGTACCCCACCGAGCCCGAACCGCAGATGAACAGCAGACGCTCAAAGAACGAATCTTGTAATAGGTCCATCTCGGAATCAAGCAGTATGTCAATGGAAAGCGTTGCAAAGCCCAAGGCAGACACTGCTGTAGATAGAGGCTTCTCCACCCCCGAGCATACATCCAGGAAGAAACGATTTGGTAGGGTATCGGGTAGGTTTTTTACCGAAGCAAGCGGAAATGGTGCCGGAACTGACATGTCTGGCTTCCAAGAATGATGCTTAAACCCAAACCCTGAGTGTTTCCCCCAGTTGACGCCGAAACTCTGAAAAGCCGGAACTGGAGTCTCGGCTCGCTGCTGTGCGATGCTGGACGAAGGAAGTACCTGCGCGTCCGGGGGCTTGAGAGGGAACCCTAGAGGCTTAAGGAGGGAGTTTGAGCAGTTATCCATAGTGAACGCCGTCAGGACCCATCGATCACCCACGAAAGGCTCTGTTAGATGCCAAGCGTGCGAAGGAAACTTTATGGGACAGTTGTGCGAGACTACAAGCTTGCCCGGTATGGACTTCTGCAATGCTGGAATGAAGCGATGTGTTGGACCTTGGTCCGATTCGATCCAAAGCGAACCTCCTGTGAAGGTTCCCAGGCTGACTGAAAGATTGCACGAGTTGGCACTGTTGGCAGAGTCGCGATCCATGTCTCACCCGGAAACAAATGTTGCAGAAACGTGTTCAACTGCTTGCAAACTTCTGGCAACGCTACGGACACTGCGGAAAGCGCGGATCGATTGCTCACTTGACAGCCGAAATTCCAATACCCAGAATCAACAGAGGCTGCTGAGGTGAAGGCCCTGTCTGCAGTACCCCGCTTTGGCCAAGATGTACGCTGAAGAAGCTGCAAACAACTCTCGTAATCATGAATGTGCTCTACGGAAGCCGAAGCAACGCTGGTACCTGGGGCACTGGCTGGGTGAGCAGTGGGGGGTAAGGAAGCAGCGGGAAGCTGGGTAGGGAAGCCTGAAGCAAGCTCTCCATCGACTGGAGAGAAGCGCGTGGCGTTGATGCCACCTTC